GGGTGGATCAGGAGGTCAAGAAATCAAGACCATCCTGGTCAACATGGTGAAACCCCGTTCCTACTAAAAAAAAATACAAAAATTAGCTGGGCATGGTGGCGCGAGCCTGCAGTCCCAGCTACTGAGGAGGCTGAGGCAGGAGAATTGCTTGAACGCAGGAGGCGGAGGTTGCGGTAAGCCGAGAACGCGCCACGGCACTCCAGCCTGGGTAACAAGAGCGAAACTCCGTCTCAAAAAAAAATAAAATAAAAGGATATACTCAGACTTTGCTTTTTAATTACTCTTAAAACTATACAAATGCATTTTATGGGCTGGATGTGGTGGCTCATGCCTGCAATCCCAGCACTTTGGGAGGCTGAGGGGGCGGATCACCCAAGGTCAGGAGTTTGAGACCAGCCTGGCTAACATGGCAAAACCCTGTCTCTACTAAAAATACAAAAATTAGCCAGGTATGGTAGTGCATGCCTATAATCCCAGCTATTCAGGAGGCTGAGGCAGGAGAATCACTTGAGCCCAGGAGGCAGAGGTTGCAGTGAGCCAAGGTCACTCCATTGCACTGCAGCCTGGGAAACAAGAACAAAACTGTCTCAAAAAAAAAAAAAAATAAATAAAAATATATATGTACTTTTCTATGTTACAATAAATGTCAAAAATTTTCAAAGCCACCAACTAATCTCTGTGCCTTAGCAACCCCCAAATACAGAGCTTAAGGCTCATGATTCAACAGCTAAGGTTTGTTTAGAACTATGCCCAAGCTTTTGTATGCTATAATTTCCTTAATCCTAGAATATGGAAATATCATTTCCATTTCACAGGTGAGAAAACCAAGGCTCTGTGAGACCATGTGGGAGACCTGCTGGACTTCATAACCCACGCTCTTCACAGCTGAACTACACAGGAGACAGATTCAGCAAGGAAGCGGGCAGGCTCAAGCAGTCCCAGCCCCACCCCGCCATGGTCCTCAGAGTACAGCTGTTCCTGCCAGTGACCCAGCCCTCCCTCCCCCACCCCATCGTCTCCCACCAAGGCCATACCTCAAAAAGGGCAGTAGGGAGAGGGGGCCCTGGAGAGAAGGCCACAGACTCACCCATAGTCACGGAGACCATCGTCTCCCTGGCCCTGACACTGCTCCCTGGAGCCTGAAAGAGAAGAGAGGAGAGGGCCCATGAGTCACTGCCGGCTGAGTGTTTGCCCCTCTCCTGTGCCTGTCTGTCTGCATGCCAGGGGAACGTTCCTGGGCTAGGGGCTCACCGCCCAGGAATAGCCTGGAGCAGCTGGCAGGAAGTCAGCCTGGGACAGAGCTGCCACCACCACGATCACTTGTGCCTGAGACAAGGCCCAGAGACAGCAAATGTCTACAGCTCCATTCTCACACACCCCAAAAGGTTAACTGGTTAATTGGAAAAGGAGTGGGACAGAAATAAGACACTCTTGCCCAAGACTTTAACAATAAATACCAGTCAAGCATGCTGGCTCATGCCTGTAATCGCAGCACTTTGGGAGGCCAAGGAGGGAGGGCTTGAGGCCAGGAGTTTGAGACCAGCCTGAGCAACACAGCAACACCACATTTCTATTTCAAATAAAAAAGTTTACAAAACACAACACAGGCCGGGCGCGGTGGCTCACGCCTGTAATCCCAGCACTTTGGGAGGCCGAGGTGGGTGGATCACGAGGTCAAGAGATCGAGACCATCCTGATCAACATGGTGAAACCCCGTCTCTACTAAAAATACAAAAAATTAGCTGGGCATGGTGGCGCGTGCCTGTAATCCCAGCTACTCAGGAGGCTGAGGCAGGAGAATTGCTTGAACCCAGGAGGTGGAGGTTGCGGTGAGCCGAGATCGCGCCATTGCACTCCAGCCTGGGTAACAAGAGCGAAACTCCGTCTCAAAAAAAAAAAAAAACAAAAAAAAACACAACACAATAAATACCCATTCATTCAATTTATTCATCAATTCAGAAACTATTCACTGAGAACCAGCTAGGTCTGGTGGCTCATGCCTATAGTCCCAGCTACTCTGGGGGCTAAGGTGGGAGAATCCCTTGAGCCCAGGAGTTCAAGACCAGCTTGGACAATATAGCAAGGCTCTGTCTCAAAAGGGCTGGTCCTAGGATAGTGAATTATCTCAAGTGAATGTTCATAGTCCATTACAGATGGAACTCCTTATTCTACTCTTCCCCACTTTCTCACTACTGCACTTGACTAGTCTTCAAACAAACAAACCCAAAACGCTATTCACTGAGAATCTATGTGTAAGGCACTTAGGGATACCAAGGTGAACAAAGCCATAGAGCTTAGCAGCTAGTTGGGACAAGAGACAGAGGAGACAGAGAGTAAACAAGCAAAAGTTAATATAGTAGGTTAGGAAGCCTTTACCATCATGGAGAAGACATGAAGGACCTGGGAAGGGAGGGATTGTAATTTTCAATACAGTCATCAGGGCAGATCTAAAGCGAATTTAGGGACCTGAAGGAAGGGAAGCAATAGCCATGGGGTTTTACAGAGAAAGAGTGTTCCAGGAGAAGGTACAGTGAGTCCAGTGCCCTGAGCCAGTGGCTCATCTGGCACACTGGAGGGAAAGCAAGGAGCCAGTGTGGCTGCGGTGGAGCAAGCAGGGAGGACACTGGGAGGAGACAGGCCACAGAAGTGGCGACCTGATCATGAGGCGCTCCAGAAAAGACATGGAAACCAATTTTCCCTTACATTAGCAGATGGTAGAAAGGTGGTGTTAAAGACATATTAGCACCCATGGAGACTGTCTCCATTAAAAGCAGTGTTGACTGGGAACTAAAGGAAATAACTTTTTCATGTGCTGATTCAATGCTATCTGGTTCCAGGATCATGGGCCCACATTGCCCTGGCCCAAACTTCCTTCCTGCTTAGCACTCTGCCTCTTCCCTGACCCCGCTCCTCTGCCCTCTCCCCTCACTCTGCTCCCTTCTGTCTACCACAGCCCCCAGTACTGATCCTTCTCCCTCACCCTCCACAGGGTACAGAAGCCCTCTGTCCCAGAACCTTCCTGTTTACAGCCCCATATAATCTGTCCCATCCACTAGCTGATTTTGGTGGTATAATGGAGTGGTCAAGAGTAAGAACTCTAGGCCAGGTGCAGTGGCTCACACCTGTAATCCTCGCACTTTGGGAGACCGAGGCAGACAGATCACAAGGTCAGAAGGTCAAGACTATCCTGGCTAACATGGTGAAACCCTGTCTACTAAAAATACAAAAAATTAGCCGGGCGTGATGGCAGGTGCCTGTAGTCCCAGCTACTTGGGAGGCTGAGGCAGGAGAATTGCTTGAACCCAGGAGGCAGAGGTTGCAGTAAGCCGAGGTTGTGCCACTGCACTCCAGCCTGGAAAACAGAGCAAGACTCCATCTCAAAAAAAAAAAAAAAAAAAAAAAAAAAAAAAAAGAAAAAAAAAAAAGAAAGAAAGAATAAGAACTCTGTAACCAGACTGCAGGGTTCAAATCCAGCTCTACCACTAGATTAGCTGTGTGATCTCGGCAAGTTACTTCGCCAGTCAGGCCCTGGTGTTCCCATCTGTGAATTGAGAGGTACAAACGTGACTTACCTTAGAGGACTGCTGTAAGGGCTGGATGAGTTTCTATGAATAAAGGCACTTGAGACAGTGCCTGGTGCCTACCAAGCACCCTGGAGGTGTTGTTCCTGGTCTCATCCTCCAGGCCTCCCTCCCCACACAGGTGCTTTGGCGGCCTCCCCGTTTTTAGAGGATGTCACCTGTGCCTGGAATGCCTGTTTCCTCCTGGCAACCTCTCCTTCCTTCTGCTCCACTGCCATCTACTTTGTGATACTTTCCCTAAGTCCCCACATATGAGACTCTCTCCTCTATCCTCAGACAGGGTTCATCTTGCCCTTCTAAGCTGGCTTCTGCTCGATTTTTTTTTTTTTAAGATTGAGTCTCACCCTGTAGCACAGGCTGGAGTGCAGTGGTGCGATATTGGCTCACTGCAACCTCCATCTCCTGGATTTGAGCGATTTTCCTGCCTCAGCTTCCCGAGTAGCTGGGATTACAGGTACCTGCCACCATACCTGGCTAATTTTTGTGTTTTTAGTAGAGATGGGGTTTCACCATGTTTGCCAGGCTGGTCTTGAACTCTTGACCTCAAGTCATCAGCCCACAGCACCTTCCCAAGGTGCTGGGATTACAGGCACCCAGCCTTCTGTGCAATCTCTTATTGATGAATACGACCACAGACATCACTCTGTCCTGCACTCAACACTCTTAGATCCAATTTCCCTTCTGAATGTTACTACTGGCCAAAGATAATAGAGGCTGGGTATTGTGGATCATGCCTGTAATCCCAGCACTTTGGGAGGCTGAGGTGGGTGGATCACCTGAGGTCAGGAGTTCAAGACCAGCCTGGTCAACATGGCAAAACCCTGTCTCTACTAAGAATACAAAAATTAGCCATGCATGGTGGTGGGCGCCTATAATCCCAGCTACTCGGGAGGCTGAGGCAGAAGAATCACTTCAACCCAGGAGGTGGAGGTTGCAGTGAGCCAAGATTGCGGCACTATACTCCAGCCTGGGTGACAGAGCAAGACCTTGCCTCAAAAAAAAATAATAATAATAATTCAACATACATCTCTCAAAGAACAAGGCACAGAAAGTTCCCAGTACGTCAGACAGAACATCTCACAAACCTAATACTATGCATCAGGACCAGGGCCAAGCATCCTGCAGATGCCTCACAACAGTTCAGTAGCCCTGTTGTTGTTTTTTTTTTTCCTCATGACACCAAGTCACCTTAGCCCTGTTTTTATCGATGAAAAAAAACCCAACTCATTGAGACGCAGTCATTCGTCAAATCGCACATCTAGCAACTGATCTTACTGGGATTCAAAAACAAGTTCTCCCCGATTCTGATGCCCAGGGAGTAGCTCCCATTGAGTGTTTACTAGGAACTGAGTATATACACATCTCAGTGACTGCTCACAACCACCCTCAGAAAAAAGTAAAACTGAGCCCTTAGTTACAGAGGAGAATGGCAGGTCCAAGATCACACAGCAAAAGGCTGGGCACAGTGACTCAGCCTGTAACCCCAGCACCTTGGGAGGCCAAGGCAGGTGGATCATTTGAGGTCAGGAGTTCAAGACCCGCCTAGCCAACATGATGAAATCCCGTCTCTACTAAAAATACAAAAATTAGCCAGGCATGGTGGCAGGCACCTCTAATCCCAGCTACTCGGGAGGCTGAGGCAGGAGAAGCACTTGAACCCGGGAGGCAGAGGTTGCAGTGAGCTGAGACCATACCACTACACTCCAACCTGGGCAACAGAGCAAAATTCCATCTCAAAAAAAAAAAAAAAAAGTGCTGGGCACGGTGGCTCACGCCTGTAATTCCAGCACTTTGGGAGACTGAGGGGGGCAGATCACGAGGTCTGGAGATCGAGACCATCCTGGCTGACATGGTGAAAATGTATCTCTACTAAAAATACAAAAAATTAGCCAGGCATGGTGGCACGCGCCTGTAGTCCCAGCTACTTGGGAGGCTGAGACAGAAGAATTGCTTGAACCCGGGAGGCGGAGGTTGCAGTGAGCCAAGATCATACCACGGCACTTCAGCCTTGCAACAGAGCAAGACGCCATCCCTCCAACGCCCCCAAAAAGTAAGAGTACCCATTCTTGGCCGGCGCCTGAATGACAGTAATGCCTTGTCTCAAAAAAATAAAATAAAATTTAAATTTAAAAACACCATCTCAAAAAGAAAAAAGAGGACCCATTCTTAAAGGTGTTATGGGGATTAAACGAGTTAATAAACAGAGTCCTTAGAACGAAGATGCATGGCAGGTGGTGCAATGTTACGTGTGCATCAAATAAAACAAACAAATCTTCAGTGAGCTAGGGAAGCAGTGGGCCAGTCACTAACCTAATGCTAGTTGTATACAAAGTGTGAGCTGGGAACCAAGTATAAGGACAACTTGATGGGGGTCCATGGGATCTGACAACAGGGAATCACGCAGTACAAGTTCTAAACACTATTCCTATTCAAAGGGAATACGCAATTATATTTCCATTTCAGTTTACAATGTTCAATTTCCATTGTATTTTACCTTAACTTTTCCTTCCTGTCATGGCCAGCAATGCTAGTTTTCCATTGAAGACAGCAATGCAAATCTGCCTTCTCAAACTAATTGACTGGAAAAAAATCCACTAGTCATTATAAAAAAAAAAGAAAAAAACGAATACTTCAGGACTCAGCAAAATTGGTCAAACAGTAAGTGGCAGGATGTCGATTTTCCCGACTCCAGTTCTAAGTTTTTCCTATTGCTGTCTCTGAGCTTTTTCCCTCCACTTCCCTGGAATTCCCAGCAACACCAATGACTCTCTGAATCATCATCATCTTTATAGTCCCAATCCACGAGCTCTCACTGTGCCAGCCTCTGTGCTTAAAATCTTTACACACACATTTCTTCAGAATCCTCAAAACGACCCTATGATACTGGGACTATTAGCTCTCATTGCACAGATGAGAAAAAATGGGGTTCAAGGAAGCGAAGACACAGGCCCCACTGCCGCACAGTGGAGCTGGGACTTGAACCAAAATCCGACGGCTTCCAAACCCAACAATTTTTCATACTAAGCGCAAACATCAATACTAACAATAATAGTAGTGTAACGAAGTGAGCGTTATGCGGAGGCGCTGAGCTATGGGTTCCGACGAACACCAGCTGACTTCTCACTCCCATTTATAAAGCAGGTGCTACAGTCGGATTCTGACCCCCATTCCACAGGGGAGGAAACTGAGGCTCAGAGAAACAAATCGTATGTCCGAAACCGTACAGCGGAGCCGGAACTGAGTCCAGAGCCCCGGACGCCACCTGTCCCCACCGCATCCGGCCCAGCCCCACCACCCACGACCCGCGCCTCACCTGGCCCACCGGGCCCGCGCCCACTCGCGCCGCCCGCCCTCCGTCCCGGCCGGCGGCGCCAACTGTCAGACACTCCTCCTGCCCGAACTGCCCGCCCCGGAAGCAACCGCCTCACCGCCGGAAGCTGAACTGATCCTCCCGCGGCCGCTCTAGCCTACCAGGCCGCCACCAGAGAGAGCGCGACCATAACAGTCACGTGACCGCCCACCTCCGGCCGGGGGCTCCCTTCTGCCGGACGCTAGCGAGCAGCGCGGCCAATGAGAAAAGCGCATGCCTGGTCCCCTCCGGCCCGCAGTCTAGCCGTAGTACGCCTGCGCGCGGCTGGGGGGCGGTCAGGCGGGGCTCCAGCCTGGAAGGTGCCTGTGGGGCTGGGGCCCGGAGTGGGAGACGTGGAGTGCAGGTACTGTGCGATCTGGAGGCGCGGCGCCTCAGCCCTGCTTGTGTTGTCCTCCTGCCTATAATGCATCTCCTCCCATATGTCGTCTTCCGTCCGTTTATGTCATTCCTCTCCTTCTGTCTCATCCCCCTTAAATCCTCACCACTCCTCTGCTGTCGCCATCACCCTTTTTAATATCGCCATCAACCCCTTTAACTCGCTTTCGTTCCTCTTAAGCCCTCTTTGCCACCATAGGCCGTAATCGCTTCCTTTAAATTCGTCATCGCCTATGTTACCTGCACCCCTCTTTTGTTGTCATTTCTCCTTTGTAAAATCCTCATTTCTCTTTAAACCCTCATCATACTCCCAGGTCACCTTCGCACGGCTACTGTCCCCATCGCTCTTCTGACATGGCGCTCATGCAACCCTTATGTCATCCTTACCCCTTATATCCTTGTCCCTCCCTTGTCATCACTGTTCCTCTGACAGTCACCATCCACTCCTGGTGCTTCCGGTTTTCCCCATAAGGAGCCACCCAGCCTTACAGTTATTTTTCTTCCCTCCGTGTCTTTGTCATTTCCCCGTGTCACGTCTCACATAACATACGGGGTACCGCAGCCCATTACCTGGGGTGTGTCAGAAGCCCAGCCCCACCGCTACAGCTCTGGATACCTTGATTACCTTAGGCCACCTTTCCAATCCCAGCTTCATCTGCAGAATGCACTCAGGGACATCCACATCAGGGCTGCGTGTGACGATTCTGTGAGTTTATTCTTGTGGCAGCCTCAGCTTGACATGGTGTTTTTGGCTAATATTGCTATTAACCATGTCACTTTCACCCTCATCCAGTCACCTTCATCATATCCTCATGGTCTCTCTCCCCAGCTGCCCTAGGCATTCCTGGGGTGTCGTCACAGACCTCGTATCAGGATACTCTGCCACCACAGCCACACCACCCCAGAGTCTCCATGTTGCCCTCACCTCTGCCATGTCACCACACCTGTGGCAGTGGGCCATCGGCCATCACTAACCTTGCTTCTGTAAATACTTAATCCCTATCTCATTATCTTGGACTGAGTGATTTCCTCTACCCTCAAAAATGAGAGCATTTAGCTAGTGCTGTGAGGGTCAAGGAGGGCTTGGTGAGGGGAAGATTATAGGTAGCTTAGGCCCAGACCTCCGAGGGTTTTTAGAATTGGGGCTTTGGAGAGATGAGGCAGGTTTCTCCCACATTTAAGTCAAATCTCATCAGTCCTAGGCCAGACGTGACAGCTTATGCCTGTAATCCCAGCATTTTGGGAGGCCAAGATGGGCAGATCACTTGAGGCAAGGAGTTCGAGACCAGCCTGGCCAACTTGGTGAAACCCCATCTCGATTAAAAATACAAAAAATTAGCCAGATGTGGTGTCACATGCCTGTACTCCTAGCTACTCGGGAAGCTAAGGCTGGAGAATCCCTTAAACCCTGGAGGTGGAGGCCAGACCTGGCTGGGCAAATAGCAAGACCCCATGTCTACAAAAAAAAATTTTAAACACATTAACTGGACACCGTGGTGTACACCTGTAGTCGCAGCTACTGATCACTTAAGCCCAGGAGTTTAAGGCTGCAGTGAGCTATGATTGTACCACTGCACTCCAGTCTGGGTGACAGAGTGAGACCCCATCTCTAAAAAACATTAATTTTTTTTTAAGTGGTTAGGTGCAATGATTGGCTCACACCTGAATATATATCTTCTAAAAAAACATTGTTTTGGCTGGGCACTGTGACTCATGCCAGCAATCCCAGCACTATGGGAGACCGAGGTGGGCAGATCATGAGGTCAGGAGTTCGAGACCAGCCTGGCCAACATGGTGAAACCCCTTCTCTACTAAAAATACAAAAAATTAGCTGGCGTGGTGGCAGAATCCTGTAATCCCAGCTACTCAGGAGGCTGGGGCAGGAGAATCGCTTGAATCTGGGAGGCAGAGGTTGCAGTGATCT